AGAATTAGTACTCAAGATTCACAGACAAATCAGAATTAGTACTCAAAATACGAAGACAAAGAAGAAATACACACAAAACGAATTCCAAAACCCAGAATCAACACAGAGACAAAATAGAATTAAAATATGAAAAACGAAAATGGAAAATAAATCAAAGTAGAAAAAAACAAATAAGAAAATGCAAAATCAATATGAAAGTAGAAAGAGAATAAAAATAAATCACTCACAGACAAAACAAGAATTCAAAATCAGCTAAGAGACAAGGCAATATTTAGTACACATACACAAAGTATGAATTGTCAAATTCAACACATATGTTGACCGATCAGTGAATGAATACAAAACGAGCATTTATCAACGTATAACACGAAATTAGAATTCAAAGTAAAAAGCATCAGGAGTTGAAAGTCAACACACAAAAACAAACTCCAGAATTCTGAGTCAAAGGATGAAACAGATTAAAACGTCACTGTATATATAAGTAGATATATCTAATACAAACTAGATCTTTGGTTCCGTCTATTTCTTCGTGGATATTTTCATAATTCATATTGAAATATTTTCGTTTTCGTACATGGTATTTATCAGAGTGGTGATATTAACAGATTATATCCATTTTCATCAGTGATAAGACAGACGACATGAACTTTGATGAGAATACTATTACTTTATCTATTAAAAATCGGTTGTTTTATTGACTTCATATGAAAAGAATTAATTCTACATAATCATTGCAGTTGTGATTTTTTTTTAATATCATACTTAAAAACAAATACATCCAGCACGCACGCATGGTTTTCCCAAGGTTCTAGCCTACATGCCTATACAAATATCCTTCACAACTTCCCCATACGGATAATTCAATTTGCACAATTTTCATAATCTTAAAGGAAAAATCTTGTTTTAACACGGCTCAATTGTATTGGAAAGCCAGATTAAATTTGATGATGTTTTTGACTTCATGTAGAGGCGGTTTTAAATCGCTACTATAAGTCGTCTCCGTGGTTATTTATGATAATTTAATTGGTTCCTGAGATAAGCCCAATTGAATAAGTGCATTCGTATCTTTTGTCAAGTGGATACATCTCGCAAACGGTGAAAGGTCAATTTCTACACACGGAACACTTAAAGGGGTTATCATTTGTTATGTAACACCGTTAACCCCGAAAGAAGACGCTGTTAAGTATATCCATATCCGTTTTCAAGCTCACGAGCACAAGTCGATAAGAAAAGTATATTTATTTACATGTAGCGAGGCCGTATTTCTAAGCATTTACGACGCACGATTCTGACAGCTCCGTGTGTTATCGTGCCGCTCCTTAGCACGACCTGCGTTTAGCTATACCAACATATTCCGTCTTACAAATCCGTAATACAAAACTGTTTATCAGATGTGTATCCAATTTAAACGTAATAAAATAATCCCTTAAAAAAGAAACAATTATGGAAAATAAATTGTACTGTCATCCGATGACTTAAAATAAGGAAAAATACTTTATTTAAACTATAAAAAGATGAAACGGGGGGCTAAACACAAACAAAATACTCACACAGAGACCCTGTAAAAGTACCAGAATAAGACCTGTTGTTCCGGCAAAGCGAGATTTTTCTGCTTTATCGAGAACAATCACCATGTATTATATTTATCCTGCAACATTGATTGAAAATCAGACAATCAAAACATCGAAAGTTTTGTTATTCAATCTTTGTTTACCTGGCGTTGACGTTACGCTGAATTTGGCATAATGACGTACGCCAAAAATAATTCATCCGCGCACAAATATAGTTCCAAACTTTAACGAATATGACAGCAATTTTATGAATTTTCGTAACTAATCTTGTTCATAACACCATATTAATTCGCTTTTATCAACGTGATTTTAAAGCAATTGCAGAAAGTAAGACTGTCGAATGAACTCACGAGCTAAATTATAGCGGTTTTTCGCCAGTACCAAATACAGCAAAAAAATATGTAGCAGGTTTATTGCGACAATGGCAGCGCTACTTATAGAATAAATATTGTTATTATCAATGACAAGAGAAACAAAGATGCACAGCAGGTAAAGATCTTTAATCTTTTCCGCCAGACAATATTGGAGAGTCATTCCAGGTCTTTATACCGGTGATATGTATTTACGTAGAAATAAGGTCTGATATGTTGCCCTTGAAGAGGCCTAAAAGAAAACCGGAAAGTTACAAACATAGTACGAAGGAAAACATAATCAGCTCCTTTCACAAAACAATATCTGATTCATTATAAGATGGATTGCTGGATATAAATAGATTCTAATATTTGTTGCACTTACCACAAGAATCATTACATGTACACCGCGAAAGTAATGATTTAAGGCACAGGTAAATTCAAGCTACTTCAGAAAGGTTTACTCATCTGTTCAGTGGCGATATAATAAGATTATAACTAAGATAAGTTTAAGGGCATCTTTTCAGTTTTTCAATTATTTAGCGTATCATTTCACAAAGAGACTAAATAGATTTTCATTTAATAACTGGTAAGAGCATTGTTAAAAGTTGTACACTTTCTTTTTATCATAACATTTTATTTTATTGTGTAATCATTGTATGAAAAAGTCAAAAAAATAACACCGGATCGATCCAACATTATTTAATATCTTTGTCATTCGGAAAGTGTAAACAATGTCTTCACACATGTGCGATGCTGAAAATTTAGAAATTATGACAAAGCGGTGGGTTTAAACGGGATTCCAAATGGTGAAAGATGAACTCGGCTATCTCCAAGCAACACAGCGAATTGCGGTAGACACAATGGCGAGACCTAAACATTTAGTCCCTTTAAGAGTTGGAGCAGTCAACGTGTATAATGAGTAAGTAATAAGTAATGGCAGGTTTCTCATATGGAGCATGGTTTTTTTTTTCATTCTCGTCAGTTTTGAAATTTCTTTAGTGATACATTTCCTACTGTTTTCGCGTCTTTTTATGTCCCTGTAATTGACTATATCTATTCTATTTTTTCAGTTTCTGGTTGACATCATCTTTTTTTAGTTCGATGGCAAGAGCTTTGAACAGGCCATTGGCATACCTATGTCAACCGACTGTGCTCCTCCGTTGGCCGACTTGTTTTTGTTTTTATGCGAGGCTGAATTTATCGACGGCCACAAAGACCTTGCAAAGTCGCTTGATTTCACTTTCAGACGTCTTATCATTAAATAGCAAGAAATTTATTGACCACATACATACCCACATGAACTGGAAATCAAGAACGCTAGACTCTTCTACATCAGCCATTTATCTAAATCTTTTTCTACAACGAAACCAACATGGAGAGATTTCCACCAAGCTATACGATAAGCGTGAATTTTCCATTTCTGGATAACATTCTTGTATCCCAAACCTATAGTGTTTACATGTCGCAGGTGATTCGATATTCGAAGACATGTTTACATTATCACGATTCACGTCACCTCGCAGAACAGGGCTTCAAAATAAGCTGTTTGATGAAATTTATGAGGAGGATTTACGGTTTTAGTGATCTCATTGAGAAAAATTCTATTGCTTTGAGCGATATCAAGCTGGACGTGTTTGATGCTCGTTAGTTTGCCTGTTGAGTCTATCGTTGTGTACCTTGTCCTCATTCGAGAACATGACTTTACTTACTTGGATTGACCCAGATTTACATGGCGGTTGCCGTCGATGAACCAGAAGATGCTTACTCTTCCTGAGCACCTGGTCTGATTCTCCTTGCACATTTTTCAGAAGTCTATGAGTAAATGTTTCTTGTTTCATTCTTGTGTATTGAAGTAGTGTTATAACCTTCTTTACACTTTCAGTAACTTGAACAATATTTCTTATATCTTTCAATGTGGCTGATAATACTTGGCATTTTTCACATCATTCTAATGTACATAATCACTGCTTTACATACTGTGTTGTATAAAGTACTTATACAATTCCAAAATCTAATGAAATGCCTTTCACATTCAAAGAGTACAAACAATAAGTGTTTGTGATATTGTAGAACCATGTTAGCGATGGTAAATTGCTGATGCTGTTTACAAACGGAGCCCCGATGTATTCATTACGGGTACGTTATTTAGTGTTTATGTAACATATGTATCGTATACTGTCTGTCTACATGTCTAAAGTTAGGATAAAACTAGCATTTTCATGGTAGATACCTTCTACTAAGTAAGACTCTTAAAAACATTCTAAAAAATAACATATTCCCTTACGGCTTATATGACTGTAAAATTACTTAATCAAATTAAATTTTTTATTAACTCCCTAGGTAATTAGCGTGATGATAAATTAACTGTAAAATCAACATACAGTAACATATAGCGGAATAATATTTAAGCGTTAGGTGATCCGCGCGAAAAGCACTAAAATCCGATGATCGCTGAAATACGTACTTATACAGTATCCCAGAGTTAATTCTATGATCGCGTGTCCTTTTTATAATTCATAGAACCACTAAAGTGCAGGTCTGAAAATTTAGATCTAAAGTCCCGTTTAATACAAGCAACGGGCAAGTGTGATAAAGTTAAAAAACAAATGACCAGTTCCGAATTTCAGATCTTCGGTCTAGTTGATACAATTTAAGCTAAACAACAAATTACCAGTTCTGAATTTCAGATCTTCGGTCTAGTGTGATACAATTTAAGCTAAACAACAAATGACCAGTTCTGAATTTCAGATCTTCGGTCTAGTGTGATACAATTTAAGCTAAACAATAAATGACCAGTTCTGAATTTCAGATCTTCGGTCTAGTTGATACAATTTAAGCTAAGCAATAAATGACCAGTTCTGAATTTTAAATATTCGGTCTAGTTGATACAATTAAAGCTAAGCAATAAATGACCGGTCATATGATCTCGTGTGGTACTAGAAAGAGTAAAGAGGGAGGAACTTAATCTCTTGTGATATAAAAACTGCAAGTCAATAGGAGGTCAGACCTATGGTCTCGTGTGATAATGATTAACCAATAGAAAGGGACATGATCGCTATTCATTGACAAGAAAACATGACATTCGCAATGAACTTTATTCAGGCTCCTCCGTTGAAGGCCTAGCTTGTACATTCATATCCGCGGAACTACTAGAACCTGTAATATTATTCATGGAAGCGAGGTCGTCTTGTCCTTTATTTCCATTTGCCTGAATCTGATTTGGTTCAGTGTTAGTGTCAGTTTTGCTTTGTCCCCTGCTGTCAGAATCTATGCTTGCTGCCTGGTCTTTTTGACAATCAGTTATGTCTTCTTTGGTGTCTCCTTTCGGTTTCTTATCATCACTTTCCAAAAACTTTTCCCATTTGGATAATCTCTCTTCCCGCTCAGCCTCAGATTCTTCAATTTCGAATTTGGTTCGTCCGTCCCATTGCTGTGCCATAACACGACGCTTTGAGAACCATCTGTGGTGAAGGGCGTTTATACAGCCATCAGCTTCCTCTGCCGTCTTGAAATACACCATCATCACGCCGTCTGGGTGGTTCTAAAATCAATAAAGCCAAATCTGGTAGTGATCATCTGAAGACATTTTATTATTAAGAGTTCCAAAAATTTTACGTGGTTTTAGACATACTGCGGCTAAACGGATAACTAATTGACTTAACTGGGCATGCACTTTTCATATCCAAAGAAAAATAGGGTTACGTATATAATTTGAACAGAGACATTTGGTCAAAGGAACGAGTAAAATTAACATGTTAATCACCAATGTTTGTCGATTGTCTCAATATCCGTTTACTATGTACACACGGTAATGTTTACTGGCGGAATACTATATGCACTTAAAGTATCTAATGTTATCTGATGGAGTTTCAAAAATATCTACATTATTCATCTTTTACTGACGGAGTTTCATAAATACCTACACTATTTAATTTTAATTGACGGAATATCGAAAATATTTTCACTATTAATTTTTACTGACGGATTTTCATAAATACCTACACTATTTAATTTTAATTGACGGAATATCGAAAATATTTTCACTATTAATTTTTACTGACGGAGTTTCATTAATAACTACTCTATTGAATTCTACAGACGGAATATCATAAAAACCTACACTAATTAACTTTTACTGACAAAATACAGCCCGTTTTTAATGTTTAATCATAGAGTACTATATGTAAAAACGATATACAATATTTACTGGTGATTATAGTCTGATGAATTCGGAGACAACACCCAATATTGATAACAAAGATCAAGATAATTCAACACATTTAGATAAAGACGTGAAATAAGACATTTGCAAAAAAATATGTTGATTTCGATTACGGCTTCTTATCTACTCACGTCAAATATTTTTACATTCTTCACTTCTCCAAATCTTCCACACTCTATCCTCACATCGTCCCTGAGATCATTAATTAAGGTAGGCTGTTCCTGTAAGTAGAAAAAAACCAATGGTTAAAGTGAGCTTAAGGTTAATTCCTTCTGTGGAGAAAGAACATCATTACTTAAGACTGACTTCTGTGAAGAAAGAGTGAAACAATCATCAAGGTTAGCTCCTGTACAGAGAGAAAAACAGTGTAACTTAAAACAGCGACATTCTTTAATGTTGGATTCTCCTGTACATAGATTTTTCAAAATGGACAGTGAATAATATTCCTAAGATGTACTGGTATTCTTATATTGAGCCGACCTGCAAAAAAGGACAACACTAATTCAAGCCCGCGGTCTCCAAGAAATACCCGCTTTACGAGGGTAAAGTGCATAACCTGTATTGAATGGTTATAATTCATCATCGACACATTTTATTACAAAAGAGATAAGTGGATAATACAATAAAATGTATTGATTGTTTATTGACTACTTTTAGTTATGTCATAAACATATCTATTAAAATAATTCTAATTAGATAAGAGAAATGTGGAAGGTTCCAAAGAAAAATTAGGAACTTCTTCATGGGCTGTTACAAATGTAGAATCTTCGGAAAGGTGTATTTACGTTTAAAAACTCCTTAATATAGGGCACTGTGTAGTAAACTTTTCAAAAAAATATAACATCATTATACAGTGACATCATTAATAAAAGGAAAGCTCATATAGAACCAGAGAAAAAACCGTTTCAATCACATCTAGTAGGTTATCACAAATACCACATAAAACAATGTCCTTAAGTTGTCAAGCTTTCCCAAAGGAGGTACACAACGACCTTACATTTACCGGTAAACATCTACCATTCCCTTCTCTGCAGATGCACATTCCACATGTGCCGGGAATATGACACGTATAAATAATAGTGGTACCCTCGTCTGTCTGTTGGGATTAGGGTGATCTGAGAGAAGGCAGCGTCACACTTGTTACCGAGTTACTCGAGATATCCCGAGATTTGTAACCTTAGTTATATCTGGGGTATCTTTCTTCCCGTGGTTTATACATGAAATTATGAATGAAATTGTCTTTAATGTATACACAAACAATGAATAATCTAAACCAGAACTTTGAACCGAAAGATAGTAATTAGGAATAAAACACCATTATACACAAATGCTAAGAAAAGGATTAGTTTATAACTGATGCAAAATGCAGACCAGTCTTCGAAATGTGTAGTATATTCTTATAATTTATGTGAAAAGCAGATCATTAATCATTGCCAAGAAGGGTTTTATATATGTCTACATCGGACACAGGTATGTACCGCTCTCGACATGTTAAGTGCAGCACACACGAATGAGGAAAAAATGGAATGGGCCGTTAAAACAAAATTCTATCTGGGGCATTGACTTTTCCAAGAAACACCGAGTGCGAGCGTTAATACACAGCTCTATATACAAAGCAATATCAAAGAAACGACTGGAGAGTAATATCTGAAGATTGTACAAAAGACACACGTGAATAGCATCTCGGAATACAAAGACTACAACAGTCAAGTGAACAGCACAGAGCGGCAAAAAACGTTGTATACAATGGCACTTTGAAAGAAACATGAACAGGAATATAGCTAGTTCTAAACTGCAGCTCAAATTCCAAGTGATGCCACGACTAGTGCAATGGTGACAACATGAATAATATTACCAAAAAAATGTCGAATATGACAAATATCGTATCACTTATGGGTGAAATAGCTTCCAATGAAACGCCGACCATAAAACTTTAACAATTGTCTACATCGACATTTCTCTATAAAACAAAACACACAACGAATGATAAAGTAATAAATAATACTCGCCAACGGGAATTATTACAAATGTTTCGTCATTCTTGGACTCTAGGTGTTGCTAAGGGCCTAAATTTTGAAGCTGTGGAGGCGACCAAAGAAGAAATATCTAACCCTAGACGATGGGGTGGTGCACTAGCCCCACAATAAAATTTTATATGTTTAATATATCAGATTAATTAGCTTGCTATCGAAAGGCCAAGAAAACAAAGCGTACAAACGCAGGATGAATCTTTGTAAGTGGTATGTACCGCATCAATTCCTTCTACGTAATTCACTATTACAGAAAACCAATACAACAATCAAATGTCATATAGCATTAACAGTTACTATAGTGTTGTATATGATATACAATAACATATTGTCATACACCATTTATCATTACTATAGCGTTATACTCCATATACAATCACCTGATGTCCACACCATTTAAAGATACTTGTATTTAGGAGCGGTTTGCTTGAGTTACTATGCATGCTTTAAAAATGCATTATTTTGAAACGATGCACCAATGTTGCAACAAAGGATTACATATTTTGTTTCCAGTGTTCGACACGTTATACAAACCTGAAATACAATAGAATGTAAAGAAATGTCAACATGAACAATACTTCAAACGACCGTTCCTGTGCAGTAATCTATCGCAATAGAGTTTAGATAAGAAACAGACATTTACCGTTTATACGTTTCAGTAACAGATGAAATCGTACCACCGGAATACCTATTAATATATACAATAAAAACCAGTTTTGTTTGATTCGGTTTGCGACACAACCCATCACTTAGCCTCCCGCTGCTTGCCGTTCTTCCATAAAACCAAACATCGCATGCTTGTGTGGACTTGTATTCACTTTCACGTCCCATGAAGCCAATTACAATTCTATCACGGCAAATTCCTTCACGTGAGTCTACATATCAATTTGCTAACAACCTCATGCGCATTCAGATGTGAAATGGATGCATTAATGTTTTAGGGGACACCAAAAATGCGAAAAGCTTGCGCAGCACTATGCCCCTGTAGGGATGGAAATGACAAAATTCCAGCATGCAAAATACCACGGCCTTTTTGCGACATCTTTCTTACATAAATCAAATAATTGAATTACCTTCTACCAGTATTGTGTAATTTGTTTTTTGAAATCGGACCCTTGGTAGCATTTGTCTTTGAGCAGACGACACGTGTAGCACCCCGACCTGACAGCCTCGTGCAGATGGCATACATACCTGGGATTACAAGCGCGAGCAATAATGGTTTTTTGAAGGAACCTGATCCTACCAATTATTGTGGATATTACATCTAGCCTCTTTTCCATTCATACATAATGGCTGACTTTTAACCAATTTTCTTGCAGTTTGCCCATGGAAATATTTTCCTTGACAGCGACATATCTTTCTCGACCTGTTCTCCGACTGGATCTCTATTTTGAAGTCTGCTCCCCATGTGGAGATTGTGTCGAAAAATCAGATTCGTGTTCTAAGTGAACAGTTAATTACTTCAATTACTCTTAACGTCCATAACAGCAAAGTTTTGAGTAACAATTAAGTTATGTAAAAAGAACACTGTCCGTGCACATTACATCCGTTTTCTGTTTAGTACACGCCTGATCCGAGAACTAAATGTTACTAGTACCCACCCAGTTACACCTTTTGTTTCCTTGGTAAAACTCCACCATCAAATATTAATATTACTCAATGGCACGTTCCACCTTATCTTGGTGCTTCCGTATCATACTCAGTTAGAATTCCTCGAATTTTTCTTTTACTTATTTCTTTCCTGATTTTTTTTTTTTTTTTTTTTTCGCCTTCCTCTCTGTTTTCATTTTGGATAGGAAAGAAACCAAGATGAAGAATCAGTTGAGGAATGACAAACGATCGTGCTCCAAATCGACTGAAACTTGTCAAACAATATGTTTATAATGTGCTGATAAACGTATCTTGCGACAATTCACACAATTAAAGTAGGTCAGAAACGAAATAATAAAAACGTCATATTTGATTTACCGAAATATCCCATCTCCTGCTAAACGTTAATGGACGGATATATTAACTTATTCATTGAAAGGAATACTAACATATTTCTTGAAAAGATACCATAATTCAGTTCTACATAATTAATTTCTACATAATTGAAAATAGCTCCAGTAATTAAATTTGAAAAAACATGTTATTGACAACAGGGTATCATAAAACTTACGGCTGCAAAGTTTGAGGGAAAATACTTTTGAAATGTGTATCACGCTGTTCATGTGCATATTCATGTATTATTGTTACTTACTGATTATATACATGGTCACGTGGCGTACGTGTATTATTTGTACATATTATCTATATATAGGGTCACGTGATGTACGTGTTATTGGTACTTATTGTGTATGTACATGGTCACATGATGTACGCGTTTTAATGGTACTTACTGTGTAAACACATGGTCACGTAATGTACGTGTAAATACATGGTCATGTGATGTACGTGTTATTGGTACTTACTGTGTTTATACATGGTCACGTGATGTAAGTGTTTTATTGGTACTTACTGTGTAAATACATGGTCATGTGATGTACGTGCTTTATTTGTACTTACTGTGTAAATACATGGTCACGTGATGTTTCATTGGTACTTACTGTGTAAATACATGGTCACGTGATGTACGTGCTTTATTTGTACTTACTGTGTAAATACATGGTCACGTGATGTACGTGCTTTATTTGTACTTACTGTGTAAATACATGGTCACGTGATGTACGTGTATTATTGGTACTTATTGTGTTTATACATGGTCACGTGATGTACGTGTATTATTGGTACTTACTGTGTAAATACATGGTCATGTGATGTACGTGTATTATTGGTACTACCATGTATATACGCGGTTACGTTATGTACATATATTTACAACGTGGACAAGTCACGGTAAAATAACAATTTATACAAGTTCCATCCAAAGGTTTACCATTTTTTTCAGTTTTACATCGCAACACAGAAGAACCACCGGTAAAGATTGCAATCCCCAGATGATCGCATGAATTAGAATTCCTTAGGATATCCGTGTATTTATCCTACCAATACGTCATACACTGACAGAATATGCACTCATCATACACTGACAGAATCTGCACTTATTATACACTGACAGAATCTGCACTTATTATACACGGACAGAACCTGCACTCATCATACACTGACAGAACCTGCACTTATTATACACTGACAGAACCTGCACTTAT